GTATGGATCTTCTTATCTTACTCAAATGTGTGCATTTATACCAACAGCATCCACTCGGTTCGGAGTTTTACGAGTGAGTTATGTTCTTCTTGGCAACCAGTGTGGAGAAGTTACCGGTTTGAAATAGTCCATCATGTGACCTCCTGTAAGATGGTGAACTGTCATTTTTGCACTTTTTCTCCGTACAGACTAAACAAATGTGGTATAATAATATTGCCCCTGTTCTTAGTCTACTAGTGAATTGCTAAGCTAAACGTACCAGCTGCTAGCTTTAGCTTCATATTTATGATACAGCGAGAGAGTGGTGTCCATCTTCTCATCCAACTCTCAGCAAGAAAGCAATTGAGCCTACGAATATTTCCCAAAATGCCAAACTACTGCTTTAAAATTCCACTCTATATGGAAAGTTATACAAACGACCCTGCCACAACAAAGTATGCAAACTATGATAAACACTTTCACTGTCCACTTTTCTCATCTGCTACACCCCCCCTTTCCTCTTCCTTCATCTTAACTCTTTCTTCCCCATGTCCTTTGTACAACATCTGTAATACAGACTAAACTGCGTGTTGTTAATTAACCACAATCTGTTGGAGACGGTGTTACTTTCAGCTGTTTCTGGCAGGTGAAAGACAGGTATTGATGACTTGCCTGCTTTAAGCCTAGCCAGAGGGGCAGATGAATGTCAATGTTGTAAGATTAATTGCTTCAAAAAAACTGCACTGGTCTACTTTAGGTGAGATGTCGATGGCACCAAGTTCCCACTGAGTAATTGGTAGATTCCTGTGTAAAGATACAGAGTAAGCAAGATGCATTGAGGAATTTTGAAAAATCAAATGAGGGAAAGGTTGCTTGCTTGTTGTTCCATGGGGACATAAGCATCCGAGCTGTGTGCCTGTCGCTCTCTCTTTTTCTTAAGCCTCTCTCTCTCTAGTTTCTCTTTCTTGTTTTCTCACTTCTCTGTTATGAACCATTGGCCCTCCCATCCTGGGACCTCTCTTCCTCTCCCCTGGCTGTTGGTGCCTCACTCCAGATGCTTTAGCTCTGGATCTTCATCCTCCAGGAGCTTCAGCCTCTCCTCTTGTTTTCCCTTCTCCCTTTTGTACACGTTGTCCTCGTCTCACTCTCCCTCTGTGTGTTTGTTTCCTTTCTCCTCAAGCGGTGTGTTTGTGTAGTTGTGTCCTCTTCCAAGTCTCCATAGTAGAGAAGAGGTTGTGTGGCTCAGGTCTGTCAAGGCTCAGGTCTGTCAAGTCGCTCTGGCAACACCTAAAGTCGCTCAGCACTTCTCCCTTTGTCTGTCCAGAAAGAGGGATCCCTCCTTAGGTTTCTCAGATTTCTTCCCCTGTTAAAGGTTTTTTTTTTCAGGGAGTTTTTTTTTAATTTGTGATTTGTCATACTGAACTATATAAATAAAACTGACTTGACTTGACTTGACTGTTCAGATTTGTTTGGATGGTTGGATAGACCACATCTGTCTACAAAGACAACACGACTCTGACTTTGACTATGTAAGCAGTTATGGGTAACAAGGCAAACAGTACGTGCGCAACATTATTTACAGCAGATAAATAAATAAAAAATCACATGAAAATCTACTTAAATCTATTTTAAAAATCCAGCCAGTGTAAAGGCACTTTGTTTTTCTCTTTTGAATAAGTTTGGATGAAAGTTTTTTCAATACCGATCTGATTGTCTGATGTATAGTCTGAAGTTTCTTTGCCTGAGTTCTTTTCAGGGACTTTTCTTCCATTCAAGATCTGAGCAATAAACTTGATTAGTACAATATTATAGCATCAAAAGCCAAAATTATTAATAAACCAGAATTATCCTTTTCGGCTATTAAGTTGGGGACTGAACTTTTCTTGCATTCAAATCTTGAAATTAATTTGAAGTTGGACACATATTGTATACTTTCACACTGATTCATGTTTGTATAGTGTATTCTGTACTGTATACTTTAGAT